CATTTCTTAAAAGATGGTTTGCCTTTCCAATTTGGGTTCTTTTCATAGATGTTCAAAATGTCAGTGATTTTTTCAGATAGGTCTATATCTGCTTCTTGTATATTGTTTATGTGTGTAGTTTTTGTTTCAATGTGATTAACATATTGTAATTTTAAGTTTTCGGTTTCTTCGAGTTTCATTGTGATTTCTGCTTGTTCTAGTTTATCGACTAGTTTTCTGAAATCTAGATCAGGTTCACGAATTGAGGAAGGATGAGATGCTTTTTTCTTTATAGCAATTTTTCTTAATTGTGGTGTTAATGTCATCATTAAGATTTCTGTCATTTTTGTATTTTTATAATCGTGCGTATTAAGTGAGTATGCTTTTCGAACTAGTGTTTCGATTCTGACTGCTAGTTGTTTTATTGTTTCATTTGGTAATCTTCGGATTTCATTACATAAAACTCTTTGATATTGTTTGTTTCTTTCAGAATCAAACATTTTTGAAAATTCTTGTGTGAATCGTTTCCAATCTGATTTTATTTCTATAGGTAGTACTGAAAACCATTTTTGGGCTGCGCCGTCTAATGTCGTTTGTTATAACGCTGTGCGGCGATGTATCCAATTTTGATGGAGTGGTGTATTTATTGGTTCAGGTCCTATATTTAGAATTAAATTTGCTGTGACTGCGAATAAGTAGTCTTCTACTGAGTATTCAGGGTCTGTTCCTGTAAATACCATGAGTGGTTTATTTGATGTTATTGATGATCCTCCCATGAGATATGGGTTCATCGTCATTTGTAATGACTCTGCGGCGTTTGGCATTTGTGAAAAATTTGTTAATTGATTTTTTGTGATTTCATGTTGTTGTAGATACTATGGTAATGGGATTTCATTTTGCATTTGATTTGGTTGATATGAATGCATAGTCATTGGATTTTGTGTTTGCATTGGTTGAAAAAATTGTGTATTATACGAAGTTGGAACTTGTGGTTGTTGGCTTTGAAAATCTGGTGGGTTTTCAGGAAAAATTCTTTTATACTGAGGGCGTCGTGGTTTTTGTGTACGATATTTTTGTAGATATGGTTCAAAAATGTCTGGTAAATGATCATCATCGGATGATACATAATTCGTATGGTGAGGTTTTTGTTGTCGATTTTTATTCTGTTGAAAAAATTGGTAATTTTCACTATAATCCTGTGTAGGACGTTGATTAGGTTGGAAATTTACTGAATTGTTGGTTGTCGTTGGTCTATCCTAATTGTGGGAATATACATGATTATTGTTAGGTTTTCGTGGAGAGTAGTTTGTTCTTGGTGGATGTGTGTAGTTATAATTGTGTTCTGCAAAATTGTTTCTCGTGAATGTCCTTTGTGGTTTTGGTGGTCTTGTCATAGGTCTATATGTTTGATAATCCATATGGGAAAATTTAGGGGCTAAAGTGGCTGAGGGTTTTACAGTTGATTGTAATGTTATTTGTGGTGATGTTACCTTATTATTTTTTGGTGTTGTGAAATTTGGGTGTATTGGTGAAATACTCTGTTGCGTAGTTGTTATTGTCGTGTGGACAATTTCTTCATTTATGAACTGTGATGGTGTTTGAATATCTTGCTGCGCAAGATTTCGAGTTCCATTGAGGTTTTCGTTTTGTATAACCGTTGAATTTAAACTATTATTTTGTGTATCAGGCAAAAATGTATTATATTTTAAAGGTGTGGCGTCAATTGTTAATGGTATACTATTTATATAATTTCGGTGAATAGATATAGTATCTATTGCTTGACTTGAAATAGCATTTGGGAAGTTTATAAATGATGGATGAGACCAATCGGGGTCCCAAACATAATCTGATTGTTCGTGAATGACCGTGTCGTCAGTGTTACTTTGAGGTCTAAAATTTTTTCTTGCTTCGTGAATTAAATCTATAATATGTCCGAAATAATCAATTATAAACCATGCTAGTATTTTTTGTAAATCATGTTTGGAGTTTTGTGAAACGTCGTTATTGTGAAAATTTTCACGATTTGCGTATAAAAATGTAGAAAATGCAGTGATTTCATTTCTAACTTTGGTGTGTCTAGATGTCTGGACTGGTGATGTACTTTGGGCTTCTGTTGTTTCTAATATATTTAAATTTGTATCTATTATAGCAAAAACTTCATTTGTGAATATCGAGTTTGCTCTGTGAGTTATGGTATTGTATATTTTTGATATATTCTGTGAATACCTTTGAAAATTCAAGATCAAGATCGTCTGTTTGAAGAACGTATTTTTTATTTTCTGGTGTACAGATTCCTATAGTATAGATACCGTATTGTTGTGTTATTTTTGCGATATCTTTTATATAATGATCAATTATTTGTCGTTTTATTGTTACATCGGGAAATTCTGCTTTACATGGACTGATTCCTGGTTCAAATAAAATTATGAGTAAATTTTTACAAAATTTTATTTGTCCTCTATCAGTATCTGAATCTATAACGAAAGGGAATGCTTGTTCGTAATCTATGCTTTCGTCACTTTGAGTGTGGCTGCTCATCTTTACGTTTGATGACTGTTAATAAATAGTTGTTAATGTGTCTAATTGGTTGACTCCAATTGTACAGATGTACTGGTTTATGCTTGTGTTTCTTTTTTATTCTATTTTTTCATTTTTTCGATGAGATTGTATTTGTTTCTGAGTCTGAAAAATATACTGAGTCCTGGATTGGGTAAGTTTGATTTATTGAATCTTCTACTTTGTATAGTTCGTCAAGACTACTGACTTCTGAGTCGGAAAATGCGTTTCGGTTCTTTGAAAATCTTTTTCGTGTTATCTGTCGTTGTTTGCTTAAAATTGTTCTTTTTAGTGTTTGCCGTTTTGTGTGTATGTATTCAGTTGTTTGTGTATGCAGGGTGATAACAAGATCGTATTTTTGATTTTCAATTTGACAATTGTGTACGACGATGGTTTGTTTATTTCCTAAATTTTTTAATGACACAAGGTTTAGGATGATGGATGCAAGGTTTTTTGTAAGTGGTTTTTATTTCCTAGACTGTTAGTCCTTACGATTTTTTTGGTTAGCTTAGCCTGGGTCTTTTTATTCAGGGTTGGAGAGAAAAGTATATCGATTCCGAAGAATGATTTTTACTTTCTCGTGGCTAATATAAGCTAAGGTGTTAACTTACTTAATCTTACTTAGGGGTAGTGATTGTGTTCAAGGGTTGGAGAATAGTAAATCGATCCACAAGGTTCAGGTATAATTAGAACGCGAGTAGTTCGTTAGATACTATTTTAAACTTACTAAGTCTAAGATCTATCCTGGGTCGTATAAGAGGAGGGGGTCAAGTGAAGGATGAATAACCGAAGTTCTTCACTGTTTATCTTAATTTAAATGGTTAATATTTGAAAAATTTCTATTAGTCCTGGGTCTTTTGAAAAGGTTGGAGAGTGAATCGACGTTTGAGGTCGTTAGACACATGATAAGTGGGTGGGGGAGAACAAAATTGTTCTGTATGATCCAAGGATAAGCCTTGATGATCAGAATTTAAGTTAAAGATAGAAAATTAAATTAGATCAAAGGATAGGCCTTGATGATCTGGATGAAAATTTAAAAGATTTAGGTTTAAGAAATATAAAGTTTAAGATTTTGAAATAACAATTTGTGGATTTTAGATTTGATGAAGTTAGTTTATTTATGATGGCTGTTATGTTTAGGTGATGAAGCTGGAACAACAAGATGAATGATGTTTACTAACAATTTATTGTCATGCTACTAATTTTTATTTATATTTTGAATAAATTTTTTTTCAAATATTTTTTATATAGTACTGCAGTTGAAGAAACGATTAGTGATGTTTTTATCAATCGTTATTGAACATTAATAATTTATTTAGCGCCTGGTAAATGCATTGAAGATTTTTCTTCGAGAACTCTATGTTTGCGAATGAAAATCTAAATTCATTGCCGGTATAACTCTAAATATAAAAGTATGTTGTGGCTTTTGCCGTACTATCATGAAACTATTTGGTAAGTTTCTCCGTAGTCGTATGTCGTTTCTTGTCGGTGCTCTGATTCCAAAACGTCGTTGTTCTAGTATTGTTCGGAAGAGTGGTTTTGATCTATTGAGTAGGAGAGACCATTCAATTAAATTATTATCGTATAACATTTTGAAAATGTTTTTGTCTAATTTCTAATCTAATTTTGTTAATTCTAAGCAAATTTGTTTTTTAAGGTCTTGTTCGAGACTTATGGTCGCACCAGATGAGTTAGGTATGGAGGCCTATCTCATAGAGTAATTTCGGATAGGGTACACCGTCTGCTCGTCACGCTATCTTATTTTTGGCCGGATAGATTCGTGCAACTTCTTAGTCTAATACCGATCCTAATCTTACTCTTATTACTACTAGTCTCAGGGTGTTTAACTAGTCTCTGCTAGGCTCAATAGATCTAGAGTATACTGGTATTGTTGCGGCTGCTGAAGTACTCTGGAGAGTCAACTATTTTCTAAGTTAAATTCAATTCTCTCTGGTGCTGAAATTACAAGTAATTTCAGCACTTACAAATAAGTGGGTAGTTAGTTAGATGGATTGTGATTGGTTAGTATTAAATACTTTACAGTGATTTAATATCTAAATTATGAATAATAAAATATGTAGTTTGGATTAGGTTCCACTTCTCATAATTTCGTTTGGTACTAAAAAGTTTATTCGTTAAGAAACTTATCAGCAGTAGCAGTCAATCGTTTTTTTAAACATCATTTCGAAGTACCGTCATTTTCTACAACAATGTCGGTTTGGTCAGAGCATGTTCGGCCGAAAATGTATTTCAAAACAATCTACTTTAAGATGTTTTTAAGATGTGTGTTGTTCAAGGTGTTTCTTTAATGTAGCTTTTTGAAATTTGTTTTTAGTGTAGACTCAAAAAAAAACAATTACTCCAAATATCATAGCAGGAAGTTTATTTGCCAATTTGTGTAAGCTTATTATCACCCCGATCTGAGCATAAAAGCTTGACTTTTTTGTGACAGTTTCTTGTTTCAGAAAAATGTGGGGGCATACACGGACTCCATACGTTGGGTTTGCTATATCCGCTTGGCTTTGCTGTGCTTGCATTGGTATCAATTTCCTCCTCGACATTGTTTTACTTGGAGTGTGAGTTACAGTTTGATATGGTTTAACACAATTTTGCTTCATTAAAGAGCACCAAAAAAGTAAATTACTGCCTGCCCGCAGTAATATATATATATATGAAAATTGTATGATATGCATTTTTTTCATAAACAAAATTAAAAAAAAATTTGAGGTATAAAATTTTTTATCCCTTTTTTGGCTGCAAACTTGCTGTTGTGTTAAAATAAAAATTTTACGAAAAAAAAAATTTGCATGCAAAATTTGACATTTTTGGGTTTATCATGTAGTCCAGGATGAGTTTCTCTCCCAAAAAATCCAAAAATCACAAGAAAGTGTTTTTTTTTGTAAACACGATTATTATCTTTTGTTTCATTTGCTAAAATAAAAATAAGTTTGTAAAAACTTGTAAAAATAAGTTTGTAAAAGTTTGTAAGTTTTCGGTGCGTTATTTCAATTTTGATAAATGTAAAATTTTACTAATTTTTTTGACAAAATGAATATGTCAATATGTGAAAAGTTTTTATGCACGTTTTGATTTCAAAGAAGCAGTTTTTATCAATGACATTTACATTTATAATATGACAACTGTGCCTAGATTTTGCAGCTGTTTAAATGAAATCGCAAAAAAAAAACAATTTATTTTGTCCCTTTTACGAGCCTTAGTCTTAAAGGTTTTCCTGTCCAATTACGATTCAAATATTTTTATCCTCATTTGAAGGTTTTTATGTTTTGTTAACCATCAATTGTTTTTGCTTTCAGGAGCTGGACTTCGTCGGTAAGTTCAAATTTTGATAAAGTAGTTGAACCTTTGGTTGAACCTAATTTGAGCTATTTGAACCACTAACATCTGACATTTTTAATACGCGTGATACGGCAAAAATTTTCTGAATGCGACATCCATCATCAACAAAACTTAAATGATAAAAGCGGAAATAATTTATCTTTTTGGTGAAATGACCACCAAAGAGAGCAAACTCCTGACATTTTTGAGCTTCTCTGTGATTTTTTTCTTCATAATCAGCTCGAAAGTTAATTGTATGGCATCACCGTAACATCGTAAGCATCAACGTAACATATTAATGCTCCATAGACCTTAAAAGGCAGTCGGAACATTCAGGGCTTGGCCCTGATACGAGCAGTCTTGTTTGCTTACAAGCTTAAACTCGGATTTTAGTTCAGACTTTCGATACGAAAGTAACGGAATATTTGTGCTCGGGGTGGGTTTTCTCTTCAGACAAATTTCGACTCTTTAACTAGCCATTTTTGACAGATTTTTTAAATATCATTCGAAAGGTATTGTTGTTCTGAGCCCAAATTGAAAAAGATATTTCACCTTTGATCATTTTTCGTAAAAGTTCCGGGGTTTAATGATTGCCATTTTGGCCAATTTGGGACAATTAACTCTCGATATATTTCACGGAAGCGGAGTATTAATTTGTCTTAGAAATCGTTCCAAATTGGTTGAAAGAAGTTTTTGGCCATAATTGATTTGTTACTAGGAGCAAAAATTTTTCTCTTGTACTTTACAAGGCGTGTGGGGTGATGATTTTCATAAAAAATTTCAAATTTTAGAAAGTTTCACTGATCCATAAACTTTGAAAGGCAGTCGAAACATTCAGGGCTTCGCCCTGATACGAGCAGTCATGTTATATACAGTTTTTTGACTTTTCACTTTAGGAATATGCAACGCCACCGCAGCTATCCTTGTTTCACTAAAATTAAAATGTTACGCCAAAAAATAAAACAAAACATCTACAAAAACAAACTTTCTGAACACACAAAAATTCAAGTTTGATTGATTTTCATCAACCCCTATTTCGACGCATGATATTTCTAAGTTGCATAGTTTAAGCAAGTTTCTTTGAACAAAAGTTTTTATTTTACGCTGAAATGAACGTTGCAATTTCCAAAATCCAGCAAGTTATTTTCAAAAAAGGCGTCAACCAGAATCTTACAAAAAAGGCTGTCCAAGTATATAATCATTGGCAGATAAATCATCGGTTGGAAATGATATCGTAAGACCAATTATAGTTAATAGAAAAAAAAACATTTTCAACATGAAGGTTTTTTTAGCTTATTACATATATACATATACTTGGCAGGCCGATTGTCTGAAAATAAAGTCAGACCAAATTATTTCTGGAAGAGAAAAAATCGTATAATTAGAGAAAAAATCAATTGTTTGAGGGAGTGCTTATTTTCATCAACTTGAAAAATTGGATATTCAAACTTCAAGATAGCAAGTTTAACAGCTGAATTGAAGCTCTTTAAATCATGTTTTTTCTTTATTTATACTACATATACTGTTTTTTATCAGTTTTTTTTTCAGAGTTCTTGCTTACAAAACAGAAAAATAAATAGATGAATTCAATTTAAGAAAACAGTAAGTTTCTTCAAGATTTTGATTCCAGAAAATATTCATTTCCGTTCAGCCAATGTTCAAATACAAGGTCTTTCTTTCGGGCTCCTATATCTATCATCTGGTCTACTGCCCGAACGACTATTTTTTTGTCAAATACGTTTTGCAGCAGGTACTATGAATTTCTGAGCTAAAAGATGTGCAACTATGAACTAAAGGAAGTTTGACATAGTATCTTGATTATGATAAAACGCGTTCATATTCTTAATCAGAAAACTTTTCAAATTTCCTCCTCCCGCAAATGGCTCGAACTTGTTGGTTCTGAAGATTTACAGCAATGCTGTGGATGTTATTCACCAGGATTTGTCCTTATCCAAGGTGCTACTTTGCTACGAGTTGGTTAATTGGTGCAGGCGTAACCGTTTTCCACTCGCCGATTTTGATTAATGACTCTTAGCACCGATACTCACCCACAAGTACATCAACATCAGCAGAGATATCACCAGGTAGTTGGAAAAAAGACTTTGTGCTGGACAGGACTGGTTAGTTTTTTAACTAAAATGGCAACCCATGTCATCTCTTATCCCTTTGAAACTTAAACTGCTGGAAACTAGGGTTTATCAAATGTAATGCTTTTCCAATAAGGCATCCATATTGAAATATGTTTGAGAATAGAGTCGATGCTTTTAGTGACGTTTTGAAAGATCACTCTTCCTGTTGATTTCGCTGAAAAAATTTTCGACTTCATCATGTTCACTCTTTGCGGTTTTATCCGTCTTTTCAATAATTATTTACACTTTATGTTAGACATGCCTTTGCTTTTTTAGTACACTACTTTGACAACAGTTACTTTGTTAAAGTGAAAAAAATTTGGTTTTTGTCAATGCAACTTGCATCTTCTTTTGAAAAATTTGTAAAGCTAGCTAACGAAATGTATATAAAAGTGACGGCAATATATTAGAACAGAAATCTTTCTTGTCTCAAAAGTCAGGCAGTTTTTAGTTCAATTTTTCATTTTCAAACAACCTGGTTAAATCGGGCTCATTAAAATTAGCCTCTTTCGGTTTCTTACTTGAATGATTGCTTATATCTTTTCTAAAAATGAGTGTCAATTTTTATTTTTCTGAGAAAATCATTGACTAGAAACTTGGTCGGCAGACTAGTTTCAACGATGGTTTTTCTCTTGATGAAATTAGACGTGAAAAGTCCTTTTTAGTTTCTTTGGTGGCGCGATTTTTCGTGCTGTCAATTTGTCGACAAAACTTGAGGCTTCTCGATGTATAAATGGACCCACTTGTCTTCCAAACATTTCTAACTACTCGTGCTAACTTTTAAAAAGAACTCTTTAGCTGTTGATTGTTTCTCTCCGCGGAATCTGAGTTTTTTTATCACTCTCTGTTGTATAGATTTCAATGCGTTTTTCAACAAATTATTTTTTGAAGGACCTCTTGAGCTCGTTGCCCTTAACTTCACAGAATTTTGGTTAAATTTTTTAATCAACTATTTGATTGCTACTGAGATACAGTTAGCAAAAATTCGATTTTATTGCTGGTACACGAAGATATCGGGTTATGAAATACACTGTAATCATTAGATAACTTATATCCAAGGTGCTATTTTGCTACGAGTTGGTTAATTGCTGCAGGCGTAACCGTTTTCCACTCGTCAATTTCGATTAATGACTCTTAGCACCGATACTCACTTACAAGTACATCAACATCGTCTTTCACATTTCTGCCAAATAAAGCCGGACGTTTCTTGATAAGTTTAGCTTATAATAATTTTGTTCAGCTCGTTTAATTTTGACCGTAATGTTGCCAAAAATTTTTGCGTTCTTTTCTCCTGGGTGTTCTGTAAGTTTAATCGTCTCTTCTCCTCCTATGTGCTTTTAGGTTAATTTCGCTGCCCCTTCTATTTCACTATCTGTAATAATTCTACTGTTGCTACGTCTTTTGTTGCTTTTTGAGCTGTAAATTGTTGTCACCCACTTAAATGAAAAGACGAAGATATATTTTGAAGTTGAAATTGTGTGTTCTATGCTTCTTGAGTTATTTCTTTACCCATTGACCAAACCACTATGAAAACAAAAAACTGTACTTCTTTGCTATGTATTTTTTTTTTATTCTTTGAAGTTCCTCATACTGCTCAAAAACGCCGGAACTTAACTTTTAAAGGTAATTTTAATACTTTTCAGCCAGTGTAATTTTGCCCTTTTTTTCAATCTTTACCGGTGTTCCTTAAGATTCAGATGCTTCGTCTTCTCCTTCGTCTCGTTTTTTTTTCGCAATGCCCCTTCTATTCCAATGTCTTCTTATACTTTTTAAACCCCATACTTTATACATTTTACATCCAAAAAATGGGAATCTAGGGATTCTCAAAAGCAATGCTTTCCCAATAATGCATTCATTTTGAAAGATGGAGCAATTTCACGCTTTGAGCTGATATCGTTGAATGAGTTCTTGACTTCTTCGTATTCACCTGTTGTATTTCTCCCGCATATATTTGAGACTTTTTCCACTTTTTCGAAATTTTTAGGTTTGCTTTAGTTTTTTTTGTAGAACACTTTTTGTATATCCGTAACCTTGTGTAAAGAAAAGTCAAACGAGGTTTCTGTCAATTCAACTTTGCACTGTCTTGTAAGTTTTTGTCGTCGCTCAACAAATCTTTAAGGCTCGCTAGCAAAATTTCTATAAAAATGACCCAAAAATATTAGAAAAGGAACCATTAACGCCCTGAAGTCAGACATTCTTTAGTTCAACTCTCTCTTTTTTAAAACAATGATTGATTCGATTCGAGCTCATAAAATTTAGCCTCTAATTGTTGTTGTTGTTGTTGGTTGTTGTTGTTGTTGCTGCTGTTGTTGTTGTTGCTGTTGTTGTTGTTGTTGTTGTTGTTGTTGTTGTTGTTGTTGTTGTTGTTGTTGTTGTTGTTGTTGTTGTTGCTGTTGTTGTTGTTGTTGTTGTTGTTGTTGTTGTTGTTGTTGTTGTTGTTGTTGTTTTTGTTTTTGTTTTTGTTGTTGTTGTTGCTGTTGTCAATGTTCTTGTTGTTGTTGTTTTTCAGCGGTCTAACTATGATTTTTTAGTTTTTTATGTTCGATTAAGTTGTCAGGTAATTGTTTCGTGTTCGGTTGTGATGGGTGTCACATCTGCCTAATTTTTTGGTAAGTAGAAAATTGACGATCCTGATGGTCTTATCTTAGAACAGCATCTCAGTATCTCAGACAGTATGATATTCGATGAAAAATAAATTTCCAAATCAAAACCTAGAAATGTGGCAATCTGTCAGCTTATAGCTCGAAAAAAGAAATTCTGTGGTGATAGACTGGGCACATTAACACGCACGACTGCGACCCAGTCATCTCAAATTTAATTTAATTTACAACGTTTTTGTTGAAAGTTACCAACACGGCCAAATAAGTGTTCTTGTCGTATATCTCAGACGGTATTAGATTTAAAGTGTTAACAAGAAATTTGTTGTTTTAGGGTGAGGCTTGTACAACAAGTTGTCGCATCTCTTCGGTGATACTTTTCTTCTTATATGCTTTGGAGTGCACTTCATCGATCATCTCCTACATTGTTGCAAAAAATAAGTTCAAACACGTTGCGGGTCACGAAACCTCCGCATCAGTATCAGTGGACCTAATCTTAGCATCACTATGCATTAGCTTATTCCGAGCAGCTTTTGTTTCGCTTTGGGCGTTCCCTTATTTCTTAGGGCTTGTTTCCATTTTAAATGACCGGTTTTCAACATATAGACAAAGGCGAAGACGCGAAGCTGCTGTCACCAGATTTATGCAAAGGCGAAGGACAGACGTTCCTGTCACCCGATCTCCGACGACTCAATGTGAACAAAACATGATTCACGAGCTGCAAGTGGTTCCCAGAATTACTTCTACGGCCAGACCTGAACTATTACGAAACTCAAAAGTAGCCCCAATGCCATATCCAGTTCGAGGCCCAGACACAGATAATGATCAACACAATAGAACTGAACGTGCACTGGAAGTCCGGCTCTCCGATCCGAACCCAGATACGCCAGAGATATGTACTATATGCTGTATTGGAAAGCAAAATATGAAAATAAAGAACTGTGGACACAAACTGTGCCATGAATGCGGCGATATAATTCAAAGGGATGGCTATAAATGTCCATGGTGCCGAGGAACAATAATGGGACTTGACAGAATCTTAGACTAACCCTAAAGCAAGTTACCTGAGTTTTACTAATATTAGTTAGTAGATCAAGCGACCTACCAGGTGGCTCGAGCAATCATGTTTTTCCAGTTGGTATAACTTTATAAAGTTTTAAGAAATTAAAACTCATTGATCAGAATGGAAAAACTGAGAGCAAGGCTCAAAATTAATTGTTCCTAACCAAATGCTGGCTAATTTTTTTCTAAGCAAGTCAATTAATTGATCCTAACCAAATGCTGGCTAATTTTTTTCTAAGCAAGTCAATTAATTGTTCCTAACCAAATGCTGGCTAATTTTTTTCTAAGCAAGTCAATTAATTGTTCCTAACCAAATGCTGGCTAATTTTTTTCTAAGCAAGTCAATTAATTGTTCCTAACCAAATGCTGGCTAATTTTTTTCTAAGCAAGTCAATTAATTGTTCCTAACCAAATGCTGGCTAATTTTTTTCTAAGCAAGTCAATTAATTGTTCCTAACCAAATGCTGGCTAATTTTTCCAATGCAAGTCAATTAATTGTTTCTATCCAAATGCTGGATAATTTCTCCCATGCAAGTCAATTAGTTGTTCCTAACCAAATGCTGGCTAATTTTTCCAATGCAAGTCAATTAATTGTTCCTATCCAAATGCTGGCTAATTTTTCCAATGCAAGTCAATTAATTGTTTCTATCCAAATACTCGAGAAATTAACGACAGGAAGAAAACTTTTTAATTCACCCAACTCAATTGAGTGTCTTATGTAGCCATCAAGTTTTAAGAAGCCTAGAATCTCCAAAAAATTGTTAAATATTTTATACTTATACGCAATGAATAGCTCTTATTTTCAAAAAAATGATAATAACTGGCTTTAAAAAGAGTTAAACGATATCTTCAGGATCGGATTTAGGGGGGGGGGGATTCGGCGGAAGCCCTCCTCATAGGAATTTGACCGCCTGCCCACCCAAAGGTTCTCCCTTTTGTACTATTTTGAGGTACCATTTTTGGTGACGGAACCAAAAACTTTTCTAAAGGCGCCTATACATGCTAATTTGAGGGGACGACGTGCGCCGAAAAAACGCAATTTTTTGGTAAGAATTTTCCAAAAATTGCTTAAAAACGCCGTTTTTGTCCTGTTTTTCAAGATTTTCCGGCGGCGCACAAACTTTTGTTAGAATGGGGTCTTTATAGGGATTTTGGAGAGCTCAGAAAATCATTTTGGTCGGCCTAATAAAAGGTCGACAAAATTGTCAAATTTTTTTGAAAACCCGCCCCCTTCCCCCTCGAGAAAATCCTTGATCCACTCCTGCATATCTTTGTTTCCTAAATAAATTTTAGGAGCGATTAATTAGATTCTCTTATTTTCTTATTAACAATTAAGTTCGGCTCGACTCAATGCAGTTTCCCGTCCAAAAGGATGTTGAAGAATTATTGTTGACTGGTTTGTATTATAAATGAATTGAATTAACGCTCTCTTGCTGTTTTCATTTTGAACTGAAACCACAACAATTAAAAATCACCCAAAAAACCCATTTTTTGAAGTCTTGCATTATGATGACCGTAAGTTGGTCAATAGTTATGATGAATGCGGGTAATAAAAGTGAGTTAAAAAACAAAACCGAGCACAACAGGTTTTAGGAACAACTCATTTTAAGTTATTGAGTTTGATTGAATTTAAAAAATTTCCCTTCCCCCAGGCTATATTAAGTTCAGAGAGATGCAAATAGTGTCCAATATGCTAACGTTTTCTATTTATTTCGCGAAACATGATCACAGACAAAAATATGTCTTACAACAGCTGAGAACATTAATATTTTTCAAATGGTACCAAAAATTTCTTGCAAAATTGCTTGGCTAGTTAAAATACAGTGACCACAAATACTTCATCCTTATGTAAAACTTGACAAGAACAACTGAAAAAGAAAAGGAAGAACAATTATAATATTGTTGTAATCAGAACAGTCATGATTCTGAATTTTAAAAAAAACGTTTGGTATCAGTCAATAAGCGCCGAGAGCAAAACTGCTTGTATATCAGGGCAAAACTTTGATTGATCTGACTGTGCCATTTGCAAAAAATGGCTCCAAATTAATTTTTCGAAACTCAAATTTTTACCCAATTCGTTATTGACAAAAAATTATCTGTTTTTGAAATCTTGGACCCGACTTTTGCTAAACAAGTTGGATAATAGGAAACACTGCTACAATTCTACTCAAGCTTTGGCTCAATCATTTTTTGTTTTAAACTCAATTAACACCAAAGCTTTCACGTTTCATTTGGAACCAGTTTTAAAAAGTTTTTATTTTATACTTCGATCCTTCTCTTTGTAAAATATTAATAACTAACCAACCATGATCCACGACTGAAACTTCGGATAAACTGTAATTCTGAAACTATTCTTAGTTTCAGTTAGAGGATTATTTAAAAAGGTTGAAATCAGTTAGTTTCTTCTCCTTTCTAACTTTGCAATAAGCCAGTATATCTCTAGATCTGTTGAGATTGGTAAATATAAGAGTAAAATAAGGATTGGTATTTGACTAATGATTTGCACGAACAGTTGCACTACAAAAATAGTTAGCAATTATTATTTTTTAAAACAGAAGTTGAAAAAAAACGGAATTATTTCTCTTCTACGATATAAGCCAATTTGGAAAAAAGTTTGCTCAGTTCCTATCGGGGTTTGAACTTGGTATCTTATGAGGAAAACAAACAATGAGTTTTCGTCTCATATTGAAACAAAAAGCATTCTAAGTCTAAGGAGAGTTCATTTGATTTTCCGAAAAATTAACAACAAGTAATACCTAAAACAAGTAATACCTCAAGTCGGAGTTGGTGCTGGAAAAAATCTCTATAGACGACAATCAAGAACGAGAAACAAAACTTGAGGCCTCTATGATTTCAGAAAAATCAGTTAAGGATAGTATCTCAAGGTCTGTTGTCAGCCGTTTTTCGGATAACACAACTTTAGTAGGTTTAGATTGCACAGAGGAGACAATAACCAAAAATTTAGATAAATTTGATTATTTCAGTGAGGGTAAACTTGATATGTGGTTTTCGGACGTTCTCACAGATGCTCGACTATAGTACATCGTAGCTCAATTTTTCATATGAACTCGCACCCTGGGACTTCCGCGAGTATATTAAAATCACGATTAAAGATTAAAAAATAGATAAAAGACTGCCTGTATAAGAGCGGAGCCGTGGATATTCCGAGTGCCTTTTAAAGTCTATAGAGCAGTGTTCATCTTAAAAAAATCGATTTACAAAAACGTAATTATTTTTTTTAAGTGTTGAGGTTTTCTATTATCACCCCACACCCCATATAAAATACAAAACGGTTGATTGAGCTCCTTGTAACGTGGCAATTATGACAACTAGCCTGTTTCAGCCAGTTTAGAACGGTTTTTTAGACGGATCACTGGTGAAATATTCTGGAAAAAAATTCTGAAATTTCAAATTTATTTATTTCTCATCTATTTGGCAAGGCAAAACTAAACCTGCTGACTAGATTTCATTCTTCCCTTTTTTCATTTTACTCTTGGGGAAATGAACATTTGTTACTCATCGTTTTTTTGCATAAAAATCAAATGTTGTAAAGATCAGGGCTTTTTATCAATTTTGCACCTGCCTTACGCAATTAAAAAACGTTTGTTAGAATTGCAGAAGGACTGAGGGAATTGCATAAGGACTGCTGTCTGACAGTTAATCAGTCCGCGTAACTTGTGATAGACTTACTTTTATTCTATATCCATATCGAACGCAGGAGAAAAACACTAATCCGACCTTTAAAAACTTAGAAAATTATGTTTAGCCTCAAGTTAATGTAGTATTGCAAAACTACTGTTTCCTGGATTCAACAAAACTATCTAAAGCAATTTTTTTCCTGAAAAGTTCAATGAAACAGTGCACGAGTCATCATCAGTACCGTTGGCTCAAAGACGAGAACCGAAGTCGGGCAAAGAAAAAAAATGATAGGAGATAAATTCAATCAAAAATAAAAATAAACAGAACTGATATGTATCATTAATTGCAAAAAAAACATAGTAGTGTAGAAAACAATACTGCAAACAGAAAAAGTAATCAAAAAAAAACTTCTATCGAGGCCAGAATTTTTTGTTAATCTTTCATTAGAAAAAATTCGCGTCGCGTTGTAGCAAAAAAAAGATATGTCTTAGAAATAAAATAAAGTTACGACAAATTTTACGTCACAAGTATTGGTACGCCGATGTTTCACGCAGGATTTTAAAAACAGGGCCCTATAAAAAGCCATATCCATTAACGAACTTGAGATAGCGCTAGTGAACAAACGGCAGGCAACTGACTTGTTTTTGACAGATACTCAAGAATCCGGGTGAAACCAAAACAAAACCGGGCGCTGTATAATTCAGACTATAAAGCTCAAAAACGAAAGCAAATCTTCGAAACTTTTAATGTTAGTGCAGCGAGAAACGGTTATTTATTAAAGAATGAATTATGAGATTTGAGTGATGATTTCAGTAGTAATTAAACCAAATATAATTGATAAGTCACCCGCTCAAACTTAAAAAAATTCAGGAAAGGATCAATCAGGTTGAATCGAAAAGATCAATTAGAGTTCACTTAGGAAAAATCACCAATACCCCCCTTCTTAGGTGGTTGGCTCGTAGTAAAACGTTTGGGGGAAAACGCAGTTTTGAAACTTGAGAAATTTTTGGTCAAAGCTTTTGAAAGCATGTTTGTTTTAGGTAACAGGGTTAATATCAGCTTCCTCTGCTCAACTATTTAAGGAAGTGTAGTTTTATGTCGAAATATTTCGTCTTTCCGTTGTTCGTTGAAATTTTTTTTTTGGGCAATACAAGCTCGGTTACTAATGAGCATTTCCATTTAGGAAAAATTCAATTAAGATAAATCACCAATAACCGGCCTTTCATTTTAGGTGGTTCCATATAGAATGTCTCGGAAAAACGCAGTTTTGAACTTGACAATTTTATTGTCAGAGCGTTTGGAAGCATGTTTGCTTTAGGTAAGAAGGTTAATGTCAGCTTAATCTGCTCAACTAACTTACTAAGGAAGTGTAGTTTTATGCCGAAATATTTCGCTGTTCCATTGTTCATTAAAAGTTTTTTAGGGCATTACAAGCTTGGTTACTAACGAACATTTCCAATAGCCCAATAGATATCATGCCTCTGTCACTGAGTTTTCCCTCTATTAAATCCATTACATGACTGCTTCGACGTCAATTTTGTTATACTATGGCTGTTGAAGTTGATGCACAACGCTGGAATCTTTTAGACCAAGTTATTACACCTGAGTTGTCACTGAGCTTGAAACAATATCCTGAGGTACTTTTCCTATTGTCTATATTTCCAGGCCACACTGCATCCGAATAGCTAACAAGATTCGGCGCCTTAACCCTCCTATCTTTTAAATTTTAAATTTTTGATGCTAGCCGATATCTTAAACAATTTTTCCGGCTTTTCAAAATTTTTCACTTGGGCCTTCAACAAGGAATTTAGAAAGTTTGTAGTACAAAAATTGTTGGGTCTACTTGATAGTGCTTAAAAATTTAGACAACCAACAAGTCTTCGATGGTCACTTTTCTTGATAATATCTTGTTATACTCTAGCGTCTACAGGGCAATCTTCTTTTGTCAGTTTTCCGTTTTCGCATGTTCAATGATTCTCAAATTTAAAGACACTTGTCCTAATTCCTTCCACTATTTTGGCCTGGAAGTCTTTGTAGTTGTTACTCAAGTCTTTGTATTTGTTATGACCCATTCTACAATGCCATAGTTTCAATATGCTAGAAAAATAACACTCATTTTCTCCTACAAAAATGTCCCACAAAAAGACCGCCTTCGTTTCTTAATGGATAAACTGGTCCATTTTCTTGTCAAACAAACGAGCAGGCCCAAAATAAATTTTCTGCTCTGCTTTCTTCATTTTTGATGCACTAAAGGAAAATTTTGAATTCCCAGAAACGTACAAAGTATCCGTTCGCTCAATAATCTTCAATTCACTTTTCTCATTTTTTACTT